ATTGTACACAGGTAAGTTGGGAAACTAGGGATCGAGCCCTGGGATCTACCTCAGCTACCACGAATTGGTGAATACCGTTTCAGTTGTAAGGAACAAGATTAAAAATGAATTAAGTTTTTCTTGTTTCTATTTTTCGCTTTAGCGCTCTGATGTCATGTGACAATATATATATATATATATATGATTCTTCTCCTCTTTGTCCTTCTCTTTGATCCTGGCGGCAATGCTGTGCAGAGTGCAGGCAGTGTGTCCAGGTGTGAAACAGGATCACCGTCCCTGACGGACTGGGCAGACTGACGGCATGGGATGAACGTGCGAGTAGAACTGGTAGATTGAGTCGGATGTGGAACACAGTGGAGGACAGAGCTGTGTGCATTGTTGTTGGTTGGTGACGGTTGTGACCCCCACCTACTCTCTTGTATTTTGACGAAATCATTGAAGTTGGTTCGGCGCGATGTGCACATCTTTGGTGCAATTCGAGTAACGCTTTTGGTTCTCTTAACCTCATTCTCCTCTTCTGTTTCGTTTCCGCCTATGTCTGTGGTCCCATAAATGCCTCCTCATCCTTCTCCTCTGCTTTTTCTTTTACTCACAAAAAGATGTATGATGTAGGTGTGAAATGCGGAGCATATGGAGTGTGAATGACTTTATGAATGGTGATACATGATTGGTTTCAGAACTTTCAGTCGATTGCCAAGCGAAGTTGTCTGGTTTTCTGGAAGTTAGCTACTCTTTTTTTTTTTTTTTTTGGTGTTTGTTGCATTGGCTGACCAATAGCGGTCGCGCGGAGTGTGCTCTGAGTGATTGGTTTCATCATTTTTAGTCTGCCAAATTTTTTTGTGGTGGTCCTTGTGGACCAGTGATATAATTGCATGGAATGCTCCTCTTTTGATTGTGGTACACAGGCTCATGGCCGTTCTCCCGTTCTATTGCAATGCGCCATCACCGCCTTCCTCCATTTCCTCTGGGAGACGAAGACGGTGTCAATTCTGACATGGGCGTGAGGAACGTGTGTAGGGCAATCCCACCCTTACAACCCTCATTGTGCATGTCATTTTGGAGGCAGCAGATTCATATGGATTAATTCCTTTGTTTTCCCTCGTCTGATTAATACTCCTCCCTACAGGGCCTACACCGGTTTCTCTGCTCTCCCTTGGCCAGCGGCGCACACCACATGGAATCCTCAAAAAAATCAATTGTGTTTGGTGCAACCGGGGTAACTCATGCGCATTTGGCCGATTGATGCTTGGCTCTTAGGGTACTTTGAGTTTTCCGCAGACGGGCCATGTGACACCCGCTCCACGTCCATGACAGTGAGCTGCGCAATCAGACGGACAGGTCGTCGTCTTCATCCTACACACATTTTTTAGTCCACTTTGCCACTGCCTTTGGAAAAGTGCACGCTGAACATGCGCTTCTCTTTTTATTGGAATGCCTTCAGCAATCTAAATTTCCATTTTTTTTAACCTCTTTATTTAGTAATGAAACCCCGGGCTTTGTATTCGTCAAAGCGTGTGTGCGCAAACCCTCGAGCTGGCGCTGGAAGTCCCAGTCTTGTTGCACGATTTTGATCCCCACCCAAAATCCTAGACAGCAACCCTTCTGATCTGGACTGAGCCGGCAATGACACTGCACACAGCACAGGACAAGAGGTTTTGCCTATCATTACATACTCCCATAACAAACGAGGAAGGTTTCTGTCGTCGTTTGCCAGGGAGGTCGGTGAGATTAAGACACCAACGTACCAGTTGAAAGGTGACCCGATCTTCCCGTCTGAGGATGGCGTCAAAGAACCGCTTCACAACCATGTTTGGATTGTAGACCAGTCCGTTCAACAGCAGGGATTCCCATTCCTCTTCATCCGCTGTGTCAAAAGGAAAAAAAAGGAACATGAAAGTAACTGCAATCAGACTCGCTTTCTTTCACACTCGCATGCATGCAAACAGGCACACAGCAAACTGGCGACAAGCGCCCACACAAAACTCAGAGATATGGTCGCCGAAGACACAGTCCAGATACAAGTTCACTTTCGATGGCTATGGCGACTCAGCGCCCAAACAACTCTCTGTTCGCATACCCCGGATCACCCTGGATATCCCACACGCGTTACTCTGCACTCTCACACACACACACACGCTACACACTAACTCTAGCTATGGCGGCTATGGCCGCTACTGCCCTATCGATATGCTACGCTCCTTCTCTCTCGCCCACTTCGGCTCCGGGCTCACTGCAGACCTCCTTGCACAAGTCGCTGTGGCAGCGCTTCCGCATGGCTCACACAGGAATGAATGAATGGCTGGGCGCTGCCTCTTGATTTATACTTCTGMAGCTCGTTGGTCTGCCCYYTTCCATCGGCCCATGGTGCACACAGTCCCTCATGGTACTTGCTGGACTGGACTGGGACTGACTGGACTGCACCGCTGACTGCTTGGGGACTCACTGCTAACCTACTGAGGTCGTACTGCAATCGTACTGCAGTTAGTCCACCACTTGGCTCACCACTTGCCCACTTGCCCACTTGCCGACCTTCTAGAAGACTACAGCTAAGACTTCTAGACTTCACTAAGACTTCTGTTCGACAGACCTACAGATCGAACCCTACAACCTACGGACCTATGACAGCCTACTAGTTGCTTACGAATACACAGGTCACGGGTTCAACTCCCGGGGTCTACACAGGTACTGTACACGGTAGGGCAAGGTCTAGGGATCGAGCCCTGGGATCTGCATCTGCTACTGCAAAGGTGAAAACCGTTTCATAACAAAGCCCACACCTCCTGTGTGTAAGAGGGAAAAAAAAGCACTAGCTTCCAGCAGACCTCAGCAAGTGGAATGTGGGGCTATGGCTGCTATGCCGCCCAAAAAACACTCATCCGCCATACTCACAACAACCCTCTGCCAAGTATGCAACCCCAGAAGCAGAGTTTAGGCAGCAATGCCGCAGCATCAAAAAAATGGGAAAAGCAAATCAACCAAATCAGATCCACCACCACCACCACCACCCAGAGTTATCACAACACAAAATGCCTCAAAAGTAAGGAACACACCGCCACCCAAGAGGGAGAAAGATAAGACCCCGAATTCACACAACAACGCCACCACCACAGTTCTGAAAGCTGCAACTGCAGCAGCCCACCACCTGAGTTCCCACACACAGCATGAAAGGCCAAAATATGCAAACCTGCAGCTCATGAAGACTGTAAGTTACCCCTACCAACAGGATAAAAGTTTCATAAAACACCAAAAAGTGCAAACCTGCAGCTCATGAAAAAGGAAAAGATTTCACCACATGCCATAAGATTACAACACATGTCACATAGGACAAGCATGGTAGCTCAGTCGGTTAGAGCTCGGGCGTTGGAACAGGGAGGTTGTGGGTTCAAATCCGTTGACCCTCAACCTCCCCTGCGCATGATCAGTTGGTGCTCAGTTGGCACCCCATGTACTTGTCCATACTTGTCCGCCAGCCTACCAGTAGTACAGTGCATAGACAGATTAGTTGACGTAGTAGCTCGGTGGGTTGAGCGAGGGTGCTGCAAGGAAGAGGTCCAGGGTTCGATTCTCATCAGCCCTTTGCATCACATAGTACGGATATAGCTAGGGTGCAGATTGATGACAGAGTTATGGGAGCGGATGGTGGCCATGTACCTACTGATGACCGAGACCGACGCTGCTCTGGGTGATGACAAGACACAACTACAGCGACTGAGGGGTCTAGTTGATGACCGAGGTATAGGGAGAGATGATGGCCGTGTACCTACTGATGACAGAGGTTAGGATACCTCCATATGATAAATGATCAATAACAACCAGAATAACGACATGAGAGAGTGGCAAGTGGATGACTGGCGTAGAGGGGCAGATGGTGGCCGTACATGTACCGATGATAGGCTAGACTCAAGCAACTGGGCCGCTAGAACCTCTGGGCCATAATCAGAACAATAGCAGTACAACCTCAAGCAACTGGAGAGGGGTCTAGTAAAATGATAAAGGTGGTCGCGTCAATGGTGGCTGTACACGTGCTGATGATAGGCTAGAACCTCTAGGTCGCATTAACAACATGACTTGAAAACCGATAACAGCTGTGCTAGGCGGGTATGCCCGGGTTGCCCAGGGGGTGTCATGGGTTAGACCTTGGCTAAGGGGGGTAATGCGCTGGCCTGAAACGGAAGGGCGGCCGCCGATAAATCGAATCGGCGGCCAGTCTTGATTTTCGGGTCGGCGCGCAGTGCCCACGACCGGCATATGGGAAAGGCACTGGTGGTGTAAGGAAAAAAAAGAAAGAAAGAATAATCTGGAATTACCTGGGGCCGGTCACCTGTGATATATCTCTAGATTGTCGCCCTTTTCCCTAAAAAAAAAAACAAAACGCAAAAGATGTGTTAAATCAACTTAAATGCCAAAATCTTTGTGTAACACCGCCTCTGATGTGGGTGCGCAAATTTGTGCCCTACCCTTCTCCCAGACGACCAGGCAGAAGTGACATGACAACACATGCACGAAGAGAGAGAGAGAGAGAGAGAGAGAGAGAGAGAGAGAGAGAGAGAGAGAGAGAGAGAGAGAGAGAGAGAGAGAGAGAGAGGATGTCCTACTTGCCCCTCAAATGGCTAGAGGGGCAAAATGAAAACATGAGAAAGGTGACGAGGGTATATTGAGCATCAATTGGGCCCTCAGAAAGTTGGCAAGTACTGGGGTATTTGCAAAACTTGCACCAGTACCCGGTAGGGGTGTATTGAAAAGATAACAGGTCCAACGGATGTGCAGGGTATTCACAGTTTTTTTCATTGCCAGATGGGCAATCCCGCTCTACCCACATCTTTTAGGGGTATTTAAACCATATTTTACTATTTTAGTATTTTGGCATTGAACTCATCTTTGTCGGGTGTATTGCAAATTTTCCCTCATAACAAGGCTTTATGGAAAAGAAAAAGAGTATTTAATATTAATTTTTAAAAGAGGGCTACAAGTTACAACACATAGTATATTATCAGGTTCATAACAGCAATGAGTATATTATCAGATTCATAACAGCAATGAGTATATTATCAGATTCATAACAGCAATGGTATCAGGGTGCCATAGCAGGTGTACCCAGGCAGGTGTTAAAAAAAAAAAAAAAAAAAAAAAAAGGTCGCATAGCAGGGATACGGCACCAGAATAGTACCCTTTTTTTTTTTTTTTTTTTTTTTTAACATCCTCAGGAGGTGGCACCAGATTAGTAGCCTATTGGTTGTGCCTGGGAATTTTGAAACTGTTCTTACATCGCAACTTAAACGGTTAAACCACAGAACCTTGCTCCGCTATGCTGTGCGTCCCTGCTGCTTAACACAGGCCTGCGGAAACGCTCGGCTTAGTGGACCAAAATGGCTGGCGGCATCCTGTAGGCCTTCTCCCTAGGACAGTTGGCAATCTGCGGGGTGGGGCAAAAATGCGTGCGGAAAAAAAGAGGCTTGGAGGTAATGGTGGTTCAACCGCGTATACAGTACTATATGCAAACACGAGGAAAGACCAGGGGGAGATCATCACAGGTTGCTTCCAGACAAAGGAGAAGAGAGACATTAAGGAGAAAGACGTAAGAAGTGGGAGAGTGTGAGTAGGAGAGACAGGAAGGATAAAAGACAGTAAGGAGACGAGAGGAACGACAAGGAAACTTGAGTGAGAGAGTTGGCACCGCTTCTATAATCATGGTTGCTGCGGTGAAATAAGTTCGGGTCAATTCAACCACTAGTTTCCTAATGGCATCCATTCGACTAATGTGGAAAAGCAACGTTGTGGTGAAAAAAAAAAGAAAAAAAAGTGGAAGCAACGTTGTGGAACTTGTGGCGTATTTTTCCTCCTTTTTTTTATTTCTGTCACCATGGCCTGTGTGGAGTGGCGGGTGCTCAAAGAAGGAAACTGTTTTTTTTCAAATTGTTTGTGTTTTGAACTTTTTTTCCTATTCAGCAATGGAGTTGTCGTCAAAGAAGGCAACTGGAGATGGAGAGATGGAGAAGGTGAGAACAGATAGACATACAGAGGGAGGGACAGCTAAAGGATGTAACAGTTTTGTGAGGACTGTGATTGTTCCCAACCTGTAATGACTGAAACCAGGAGCTTCTCACCCTCATCGTCTGGTCGCTCTGGATAAATCATACATTGATCATAAAGACAGTAGCGGGCCAAACAAATGAGTAGGTTGTCTCAGCCTCAACCTCAACACCAAAACACAAAGGGCGTGACAAGTAGACAATTATGTTTCTATTACTTTCTATGTAATTCCGACCTCAGTGTCCAGGATG